TGGGACACCATTCCAAGGAATGGAGCTCCATCGTGGCTGTTACTTCCTCATCGGAGTTCACATGCGGCATGTTAATGAAATGGCCGCATTTTTTGACAAAAACCTGAAATAAATGCATCATAATAAAAACTGTCTTACTTTTGTGGTTATTATTAACAATAAACATTCAGAATCCTAGCAATAGCAGTAATATATATGACGTGAAACTTGCCATTTTGTCGGTGCACTTTACTGGCATGGATTCGCCATCCCTTTAAGGTCCCAAATCTCTTCGTGCACATACTGCACTCTGAAAGTATGACAAGCATTTCCAAACATATTCAAATTATCCATGTAGACCTTTTTAATATAGTAATGAAATAAATTTAAATTTACCAATTGTGGCCGACCCGTCAGCATTTCGAGCCACCGTATATGGGTCGGTTTCTGGCGTGACCAACAGCTGTCGGTACTGCAGCGGTAAACCTTCCACCACCGGCGTATGAAAGGCTTCCGGACCCGCTGGTACTGCATCACGTCCTCCTTCTTCTTCCACAATTGGGACATGTATGGTCCGGGAACGCCTGAAATATATTCACTCAAGATTTTTTTAAAGAAAAAGTTTGTTATAAACCTAACGATGTGACAAATTAGTTCCATTTAATATTAGCATTTCAAACTGAATTTTCTGGCACACTTTATAGTCAGAAATAAAACTTACAGTACTATTTCGCGCGTTCCTATCACTTTCCTGCGTCGCCGGACCATTGAGGGCGCTCTTGGTATCAGTTCGTCATTGAGGAGCGCTTCCTGTGATACCTGACGCCGCTCCGCCAACTCCTCCTCCTCTTCGTTTTGAACCAGTGCCGGTACTGGTTCTACCATTTCTCGCTCTTCATGTTGTTGCTGCTGGAGGGAATGGAACACGAGCCGCTCCTCATCCTCACCTTCTTGCTCCATTTCGCGCTCGTGTTCCAGGAGCTCTCGGGACAATTCTAATTGCTCCTGAGTTGGCGGAGGACTTGCGCGATGTCCTAAGTCCGCCCTTGGGACCGCAACTGTTGCAATATTATTATGAGCTTCAAGCTCATTTCTCTCCAGCCTCGCTCTCAAATCATTAATCTAAAAAAAAAAAATACCCACCTATTAATACAGCTAACGACAAATTCAATAAACAAATTAAATATTACTGTAACCTGAATTCAATTCAAAATCAA